TTCTCCCCCACGGAAAAAAAGCAAAAAAAAAAAAAAAAAAAAAAAGGGGGGGGGGGGGGGGGGAAGGCATATAAATCAATGACACAAAAGCAAGTATAATTATCACTAAGTATACACTATGTTTTACTGCTCTCTACCCACTCAAAGTCCTCACTACCATTAGTGCTATCTAATTTGATTAGCCAGCCAAGGCCCCAGAGACACCTAATCAGGTTAGCATGGATTTGGAAAGCTGCCCAGAGCAGATTTCGGATAAAGTTTTCCAGGATGTGCACTCAGCGTTGCCAAGGAGACGGCGGGGAGGGGGGACAGGGATGGATGGATGGAGCAACGGGGGCTGGCGAGGGGAGGATGCGAGAGGCACACCGCGTTGCCAGCTCGCAAGTGCGACCTTTCTGCAAAAAAGCGGGTTTGAAGAGGTTTATGCATTCTTTCCCGCATGCGAATGGAAAGAGGGAGGTGATTGAAGGTCACAAAAGCTCTGAACTGGTGCAAGTCTAGAAGGACTGGGAAAGGAGAGCCGGCTACCTCTGTGCCTCAGTGGACAGCAATATCCTAGGGCATTCTGGTTAAGATACCAATGGAAAATTTTACAAAAGGCAAGAAGGGTTTGGAAACTGCAACACCCTATTACCTCCCAAACTCCTAGTCCTAACAGCACACCCCTTCTTCAGGACAGACACTGATCTGCCTTGCAGAGCCAATGATACCTCCTACCCTCCACGGGTCTCCACAGCCACCCAAGGTGTGATTCAGTCCCTCAGCCCCACTGAACAGCCTCAGACTCTGTGAGCATGTTCACCAAACCAGTAACATTACTGCACTAGGCTTATCTGGAAGATAAGGAACAGCTTTTGAGGCCAAGAGGATCAAACATAGTCACCTGCAGGCTGGATCTGGCCTGTGGAGCAGAAAAGTGACTGCCCTGGTTCAGACCAAGGGTCCATTGCTGCTTGGCCTTTTGGCTAAGTAAGTAATTGTCAGCATTTTAATATTAGATAGTTCTTGGTTGGACTGGACTTGTTATCTGGTGGTTGTTTGACACCGGGAGATGGAGTAGGTGTTTCCTCCATCTGCTGCTGGCATCAGCTCGGTGCAGTGATGCTCCCTGCAGTGGCATGAAAAGCAGCAGCTGGAGGAGGAGGCTCAGGGACGAGTAAGTCTTTCTTCCCTATATTGTGCTGACCCCCACCTATCTCCAGCTCTGGGGATCTCCTGTGCCTGCCGTGATGTGTATCCTCCATAAGTGTCACTTCCAAGTACCTGTCCAGCCTCCCCTGGAGTCCAAGCAAGTGTCACAAACCTTTGAGCAAATCCCGTGCTGAGCACAGCCTATGGAAAACAGACTCCCAGGGTATTTGTACCCTGGAAGACTCTGAAGTGACCACTAGTAAACGTGAAATACCGGTGCAGGTGGGTAGGGTGGCTTCAGTTCAGGCAGTGACTAAAGGGGGCAGGGAGAGGAGGAGGTATTTTGTGGGTTCTGTTCTGAATTTTCATCTGCAGGGGCTTCAAATCTCACCCAGATCTTGTAAGGGATGAACCAAGCTCTTAATTCAGGAGGTTCATAAGGATATATGCCAATGGAACGTGGGGACGTGTAAGGAAAGCACTACTGAGATTTGCCTCCCAGCTTGCCTTAAACAGGCTCTTCCCCGTGAGACCAGAACAAGTGCTCACGGGGGACGGCAGTGCAGTTATCCTCATGCCCGGACTGCTGACTCTGCCCCTGAACCAAACCTGAGCCCCAGGAAACCAAAACCATCCGAGCTTGCTCTGCTTCGCCAGCCCTCTGGGTGCACCACCATCTGCTGCTTCCCACCAAGCACCAGGGACGGACTTGGACTGAGCTGGAGCCAGGAAGGGACCACGGGACACGAAATGCTCCAGACCATAGCTTGGACACAATTTGGCAGCCGGCTCTAGCAAAACGACGTGGTGCAAGGCTCCAGAGCAGAGCACAGAGCTCACCAGATCATGGTTTGTGCCCTGGGAGGTAATCACAGAGGCACTGCAATATACTGAATTTCCAGCTCCTAGTTCAGAGGGAGAAAGACTCACATCTCAGTCTTCCTGATTTATCTGCATTATTTAAACAGAGCCTGTATTACAGCTCTTAAAAAGAATTATGCTTGCCATATGAATTGGTGCACATTTTAAAGTGTTTTGTGGTATTTTGTAAGAAGCGACATAAACCCAAACTGTACGGTGTTACAAATGATGGGGAGGCTGCGCCAAACAAGGTACCTGCAAGCATGCTTTTCGAACGGCGCACGGCAGCTGCCAGATGTCAGTGAGACTAAAGATGCGACATGGTTTTTTTTGATAGAAGTAGGGCATGAAACGGGCAAGATGCCCAAGAATGATAACCTATGTTGTTTTTAAGGTAGCAGAGGAAAATAGCAGCATCAGAGGTAGAATGAAGAAGAGGAAAATCACGCAGAGATCCACAGCTTGACTACACTTTTAAAATAAAGTTCTTTAAACGCTGCTGCACAAGTGGCACTGCAAAGCTCTGTGTTTGCTGCCTTTCAGTGGCATCCACAGCAAACACAAGAATAAAACCGCATCTCTCTTTGTGACTGCCATCCCCCAAACCGCATCTCCTCTCTTTGTGACTGCCTGGGACCGAGACTCTGTCCTTGTCCCTCAGACCTGGGCTCGCAGTTGCCTCTGTCTCCCGCAAACGGGGCACCAGCCGGCACTGTGGAGAGCTGTGGATTTGTTTTCTCCCCGGAGCTGGCAGGAGAGCATGACAGTAACCTTTAGAATCGGGGAATTCTGAAATTCAGCCTCAAAAAGTCAGTCTACAAAACCCTCTGCTTGATGGGGTATGGGAAAATAAAGGATCTCTGAGAAAAGACATCCCAGCCGTGGCACGCAAAGAGGTCTTCCTGCAGGAACAGGGACAGTAAACTGATATGGGAAATATTTAATAAATATTTCCATTTTGCATGTAAAAAGATTTGCATGTAAATATATTTTAAAAATATTTCCATTTTGCATGTAAAAAGCAGCTGAATATCATAGCCTACAGAAAGACAGTGAAATGCTGCCTCTGCCAGCAGGAGACATGGTGGGGAGATGTTAAATAGCAGCAGCTCAAGAGAAATATTCCAGCAGCTGGATCGTACCAAGGAGTCTCACATGAATTTGCCACAAAGCTCTTGGAGTTGCTCCTGTTGCTGAGAAGACCTGCATGCAGCCGAGCTCCTCTGAGCCCATGTCTGTATTTGAGGAGACCCAGATAGGTCTGGTGAGGATTAGGAGAACAAGTGCAGAGCCTCAAGTGAGCCTGAAAACTGCAAGAAAAAATCAATCTACTGAGGTTAACAATGAGAGGTTTGAGGATTGACTTGACCACAGTCATTAAGTATCTCCACAAGAAAGCAGAGAACTCGCTCATCTAGCAGACAAAATTAACATGCTCCAGGGGCTGGAGCTAGACGAATTCAAACTAGAAATAAGGCAGAACATTTTTTAATAATGAGGGTGATTAACCATTGCAGCGAATTAGAAAGAGGAGTGTGACTGAATCCCTAAGCCCTGCAGAGTCTGCAGGGAAAGACAGTCTTCCTGAAAGGTGGTGGTCACTCAGTCTGAAGGTAAAGGTTTGCATCACTGCGCTACACAGGGGGTCAGCCCAAACAGGTGAAAAAGCCCAATTTAACCTTAAAGTCCAGGGCACATCACCCAGTGAAATGGGACTGAGTGCAGGGATTGTGAAGTTGGTGGGAACTCGAGCCCCAGCGCCATGAGGACTTGCTGGTTTATGCCTGGATGCAATTGAGATGCATTACCCTGTGCCTTAGCCACGCTAATAAGTTCTGACTCCTGTCAAGGCTTAATTAGCTCGGGCGTAGAGCCAGGCTGCAGGACTGGTCTGCGTCCAGCTCCGTCTCACCCTGCCCGGGTGTCTCTGTTCGGCCCCACGGACCAGCTCGGGCTGCAGCTGGCAATGCGGCTCTGTTCTCTCGGAAATCACGGCCAAAGCCCAGTGGGCATCCAGTCCTGCCCTCCAGCTGCTCACGGGCCACGTCACCCCCACAAAACAGCCACTGCAGGAGGAGGAAGAGGAGGAAGAGGAGGAAACGGTTGTGCCGTTGACACGGAGGTGCAGAGGAGGGTCTGGGGGAGCCCAAGGTGTGCTGCAGCTGTCCCAGCCCCTGCACGCCTCTGAGTGCATCCCACCGCATGCCCTTCCCGGTGCTGCACGTGCTCCTTCCCTGCCCTTTATCGCAGCAAACGTGAGGTCAAACAGCGGGGGTGGATATATTTTACAAAAATTGATGGGGAATAACATGACCGCCGACAATTTCTGCAGCTATCTCAGCTAAGATAATCAAGGTAATAAACTTTTGCTTCAGGGCACGGAGTGACCACTTGCAGGGGTCAGCACGTTCAATGGTCTGAAGGCAGCGAGGTTAAGTGCGGTCTTTTTTCACTCCCCTCTGCAGCACGATACCAGACTTTATGGGTAAATGCTCGTCTCACTCATAGCAACTCCAGGGATATAAAGCACCCCATAAAAAACTACCATAAAGTTAGTGCTTGTGATTCAGGGTGAGATCATCATTAGTTACTGGATTAGTTAGATCAACAGAGTGATGAGGTGTAAAACCTTTTCTACAAGCAGCCTTAAAATGATGAGGTATTCTAGCACACAGCCTAGCCTCAGTCCTCTTGAGGTTTGGAAAACCTGAAGAATTCTGGATGTCACCAGAGAGGGACCATCGCACCCCCAGGTCTTGCAGCCACGGCTGCAGGAGGGTCTCCTAGGTTGGCCACTGCACAGTTCATCTTCAGCAGGAGGAACAAAGATGCCATCCTAGAACAGAGCAAGACACCAGCACCAGTTTGAAGGATGAAAACCTCAGCTAGGAAAGCCCACAGGAGCACTCCTCTCCTTGGGGTTTGTAC